GCTAAAGCTCGATACAATGTTATTGTTTTCTTGGTGAGGTAATAAAATGAGGATTCATAGAGGGGCTCGAAGGGGGGCCCTCACAAACCTCTAACTACCACGTTCAAATCCCAAGCAGGTGAGCGGAACTTGGCTTTCTGATCCTCAAGCCTGAATGAGCGTAGTAGGGCCTGTAGTTCTGGGACCTTAGTCATCTTGCATTTTTCCGGAACGGCCAACACTGAATTAAATGCACCCAAATACGCGGTAATGGTGCTACCTTTCAAGTGTCTATGGGCACGCAGATGTAGGAGGTTTTCAGCTAGGAATTGTGGTGACACAGACGTAGGGTCTTGATTTTTTGCCTTGCAAAAAGTCTCAAATCATCCCCATTTGTCATCGTATAGACCTCTGGTAGAGGGACGATCAGCTAAAGCTTTTGCTGCCCGTGCCAAATAGCCCTTTGCACTTAACATCTTTTTAAGATGAACTAAGCATGCAGATGAAATCTGCCTGGCATTGGGTGAGGCAATTTGCTCTGAGGGTGGATGAGTAGGTTGGACCACTGTGGGAGGGGTAGTGGATCGTCTTCTGCTATACTTCTGAGCTCGACGTACCATGCTCTCGTCTGCCACCAGGGCGTGACCAAAGTCAGAGCAAGATTCCTTGTCTCCTTGATATTTTGTATCACCTTGGGAAGTAGAACTGGTGGCGGAAAAGTGTCCGCTTATAGCCCCTCCCAAGGGATGCTGAAAGCGTCCACCGCCAAAGCCTGCGGATGTCATGTGTTGGTGGTTGGTGGTTGGTGGTTTTGGCACGTAGCAAACAGAACTTCTGAAGCAGTAACTGGAATGCTTCTGTGTGAAGTTTCCATTCGGTAGGAGCCACCCTGTCTGGATGCAATAACGCATCAGCCAGTATGTTTCAACATCTGGGGATGTGCTGAACTTTAAAGTTGTTTATGTGCCACTTTCGATGAGGGCCTGACTATAGCCCTGAGGCTGTCTGGCCTTGCAGGAGAGCACCCAACCCCTGAAGGGAGGTGTCTAAGAACAGGTGTAGACTCGGGGATAACCCAGATAAAGAGATTCCTAAGTGACTGTCATTCAACTTTACCGTCCACCACTTGAGGTAAGGTGTAAGTTGCCACGGTAGAGTGATAGCCTGGATCCTGATGCCTGATGTAAGGGTTGAGGAATTGTTAAATTGGGTGCAGTTGTAAGCGGCCTCTGCTGGTTAAGTACTGTGCCGAGGTGAGTAACCCTAGCAACACAATTGGCGAAGCGTGCGTGCTTGGTGTAGCGCAGGTGACAAGAGGCGTAGGATTTTGTGCCATCTGTCCCTCAGTACTGATAGGAGATACTGGTCAGTCTGGAACAGGCCTCCTATGAACTGGAGCCGATACGATGGAGTTAAATCCGACTTTGCCTCGTTGATCATCCATCCCAGTTGATACAGTAGCCGTCTGTTGAAATCCCGGTGGCGTACTAACATCTTCGTGTATTGATGACACAGGAATCAGTCGTCTATGTGTAGATACGCAGTTATTGGCTTCATTACTCGTGTAAATAGCTACAGCGCCACTGAGATGCCACTGCTTACTGGTAGTGAACTCCATTGAACTGGAACCTATGGAACATGCGGTCGGAGGTATGGATCGGTATATGCAGGTAGGCATCCTGCATGTTGAGACTGATCAAGGAATTGAACGCCTTTATGCCTTTAGTGAGACAGAAGTAAGGTAGAGGCTTCAGGTAACGTTCATTGAACACAGAGATTGTGAATCATTATCATCTTGTCTGAGTCCTTCTTGGGTGCCAGGAAGATGTGAGAATAGATTGTAAGCTGGGGTGCTTACAATCTCTACAGCTCCCTTTACCAACAGTATGTCTATGTTGGCCTTTAATAGCAGATATTGCTTTCTTGGACAATACCAAGGAAGTGGAGCTGTGGTCAACGGTGGAAGTACATTTATGCCCAGATGATAACCGTGACATATTACGTTGAGAACGTAATCCTCCTTGAGGATGCTCCAGTTCTTCCAGAACCGATTCAATCTCCTGCCTATGGGGGTGTCGACAATTTGGACGGCTGGGGGCGGGAGTTCCCAGTAGTGACTGTCAAACACTTCAGTGTTTACCCCTCTTATCACCTCCCTGCCCTGGTATTAACTACGACGGGACTGATAAGAACCTTGAGTTTTTCCGCTGCCACGCCCTTTCCCACGAAAGGAATCCTGGTCCTGGCCTTCGTTGAGAGATGAGCATCTTAGCCTCTAGTTGCCTGACTTGCCGGCTTGCTGGGATAGACTATGAGAGACATGCTCTAAAGCCTTAAGCGTAACTGTCTCATCCCGAGCGTAACTGGAAACTTTGGCGTGCATGTCTGTGATCTGTTCAGAGAATTGGATGACCAGGGTTGCCTTTGCAGTCCTCTGATAGATCCTGCTTGATCACACGTGTTTATCATCATCTGTATGTCCTCATCCAAACTATGAGCTTGGTCTGCTACTGCAAATGCATGGATAGGAAACTTGGGTGGCGTAAATGATGGCGCAAGCGATAGCTTGGAGAAGTCTTCATCCAATGATCTAGTCATATCTGTCAGCATAGGGTCGGCTAGAATCGATGTAAGATGCGACCATATGGTGTCGTTTTTATCCACCCCCTTACCAGGTGAAAGCACTGATACGAGATCAGGTAAGTGCTAAGCCGAGATGTGTATTCCATTCTAACGAGGAATTGCCATTTTCTCCATTTGAAGAGTCTGAACAATCAGAACGGTGTTGACGTGTTCGCCTAGACGACGATCGTCTTCTGCACTGATGCGTAGCGCTTGCTCTGACAGAGGGCTTGGATGATCCGCCTGGTGATAGGGATTCATGAGTGATGTCCATGTACATGCAGGCGTACTAGCGCTGCCCAGCGATGAATGTGCTGTACCATGACTCACAATAGGCATACTGTAGACGTTAGCTGCCGGAGTAGGCGCTAAGCCTTGTGCCATAGTTGTAACTGACACAGGCGTCTGATACATAGGCATTGGTGAGGGCGCAGGATACAGGTGTGCCATAGACTACCGCCACATGGACTGCATGAAGTTTTGCATCCAATTACTGTTCTGGAATGTTGACGCCTGAGCTTACATCTGCTGCTTTGGATAAGTTGTTGGAACAGCGCTAAGCTGAACATTGTACGCTGTAAGCCCGGGGCTGATGTCTTTGTAGAGGCACTTGGGTAGTAGGTAGTTGCTGCGCTCGGTGCAGGTCCCTGAGACACAATGCTCATTGGTGCTAACTGGATCATGGCTTGCGCCTGAGCTACTCCCATATGAGAGTCATGAGACGCTGGCGCCGGTTTCGCAGATGTAGCAGAGTTGGATGTCTTAGATGGCTGAAAATTAGGATGATAACAGCTGCGTGGTAATGACAGAACCATGTCCATTGCTATCGAGCGATTGTGACATCTTTCTCGCCATGCGATGGGATTGCTGGAGAGAGCTTTACACAAAATTTACATTTAGAGTTTGGCGTGCAAATCTGCGTGCAAGCTAAACGTGGATGAGGATCTTTGGACGATTTCTTTCCACGACAATTAGTACAACACGCAAGCATAAGTTACACAATTAAAGAATTGTTGATGAAACAGGACTGGAAATGTGCCAAATAATTTAACAATATTCTATCAGCAAAAAAGTTTTCACGAGTTGAAAGTGTATACAATATTGATTCACACAACTCAATGTAACAACAAAGCTACTAGGACTTAAACACACATGAATATGTTATACATAAGTAGCTGAGATTTGTAAACAATTTGACTACCTTGGCAGGAAATCAATTGTATCACAAATTCAAAATGGCGGACAACAACAAAAACTAGGCGTGAAAAAAGACACAAGTCTTATTACGCCTAAATAATCCACAACATGGTGAAAGGAATACATCATCCATCGCAAATCAATTTTAGAATTATAGCCAAAAACCGAAGGTCTCAATTAATTCAATTAGAAGAGCTCTGCTGGGACACGTTCTTGCAGTAGCGCAACAGGCAGTAATGTGAATAAGGTGACCTTACATGTCATCAAGGTCACATGACAGCAGCGATGGTCCATATAAAAGTGGGACTTGAAATCAACAACATCTTTATTTCTTCACCCAAAAACATCGTCTTTTTGTTGTCATGGGGGCAATGTTTAAAATTGAATCAGGTTTTTAGAGACACCATAGCTGTGATTATCCGGCCAGTTTCATAGGCAGTGTAGTTTCAGAGGAATCATCTCAAGTGGAGTATATATTACCCGGGTAGTCTGCACAGTTAAAGGTCGTAACACAGCTTCTCCTTTCCAGTATCCTTGAGGACTTTAGTACATTTTATTCATTATACATATCTGTTTAGCCAGGTTTCAATAGGAGTTTTACTTATAGCTGAATTTCACATTGGAGATAAAAAATGTTATAGTGTATATATAATGCCTACTTAAACTGAAAATGTTAATGGTGGACAAAGCAACAAAACACAAGCTCAAATCAACCTTCAGATCAGATGAGCTTAAAATCGGCTTAATAAAAATGTGCTGTTAGAGATATTGACTTCCTTCATCACCAGATTTAGCGGAGCTTGTGAAAGTTGGAGGTCACAGCATTGTTAAAAAGCAATTCTACCATGAATTTGGAAATTACTTGTTTCTGATTGGTCGATCAGAGGTATCAAATCACAATAACAACTCTGATTTTGCAATCTGTGCATTCAGTTCCAAATTCACTTCAGCGTGGTTTCATCTACAGGTAACCTAGCTCTACAACTGAAAACACAGTAAAAAATTTTCGTAAGTAAACAAAAAAACATAACATTTGTTTTGTGCACACTACCCGGTACATTGTAACTGCACATCCAAATTTTAAAGATATAAAGAAATAGTTGATGACATTTTCAACATGGCCACAGTGGAAAAGAACATGAACCTTCAGGTAAAAGATTCAGTGTTTCCTTCTTTGAGTTTAGTCACTGGAACAAACTCACCATTCCTGAGTGCTGTAATATACTGTGAGCAGTGTCCAGGTCATGACCACAGCTGCTGCAGGTGCTGCCCTTTTTGGTGCTGTTACTGTCCATGCTCACACTGTAGCAAACCAAGGAGCAGGTGGCTGGCATACAGAGGGGACACAGCACATGGGGGATTACTGCAGCTACCTCTGCAACACAACACATTATGGCTACAACTCACCACTTGGAGTAGCACATGGGGGAAAGAATGGTGGCTCCTGATTCCTCACAGTAACACATTGGAATAGTGTCTTCTGATGCCTCACAGTAACATATGGGAATAGTGTCTTCTGATGCCTCACAGTAACATATGGGAATAGTGTCTTCTGATGCCTCACAGTAACATATGGGGGAAGTGTGTCTTCTGATGCCTCACAGTAACATATGGGGGGAGGGGGGGTAGTTTGTCTTCTGATGCCTCACAGTAACATATGGGGGAAGTGTGTCTTCTGATGCCTCACAGTAACATATGCGGGTAGTGTGTCTTCTGATGCCTCACAGTAATATATGGGGGAAGTGTGTCTTCTGATGCCTCACAGTAACATATGGGAGTAGTGTGTCTTCTGATGCCTCACAGTAACATATGGGGGTAGTGTGTCTTCTGATGCCTCACAGTAACATATGCCGGTAGTGTGTCTTCTGATGCCTCACAGTAACATATGCCGGTAGTGTGTCTTCTGATGCCTCACAGTAACACATGGGGGTAGTGTGTCTTCTGATGCCTCACAGTAACATATGGAAATAGTGTCTTCTGATGCCTCACAGTAACGTATGGGGGTAATTGTGTCTTCTGATGCTTCACAGTAACATATTGGAATAGTTTCTTCTGATACCTCACAGTAACATATTACGGTAGTATCTCTTCTGATGCCTCACAGTATTATCAGAGGTATAGTCCGGTTCCTCGGGGGTGGCCACACTTATCAACTTCCTGAGGAGATAATGGGAGATGTCAGAGGTATGGTACTGCTCCCCTGGGGTTCCCACACTTATGAACTTACTGAGGAGATAATGGGAGACATCAGAGGTATAGTCCGGTTCCTCGGGGGTGGCCACACTTATCAACTTACTGAGGAAATAATGGGAGACGTCAGAGGTATGGTACTTCTCCTCTGGGGTTTCCACACATATCAACTTACTGAGGAGATAATGGGAGATGTCAGAGGTATAGTACTGTTCCTCAGGGGTTGTTACGCTTATCAACTTACTGAGGAGATAATGGGAGACGTCAGAGGTATAGTACTGTTTCTCGGGGGTTCCCACACTTATCAACTTACTGAGGATATAACTGGAGATGTCAGAGGTATAGTACTGTTCCTCGAGTTTGCCACACTTATCAAGTTACTGAGGAGATAATGGGAGACGTCAGAGGTAAAGTACTGTTCCTCGAGTTTGCCACACTTATCAAGTTACTGAGGAGATAATTAAGTTTATTACTAACTAATAAAATGCATTATTTTGGTAATCTTACATTATTCCAATTCAAGGGGCCTTCTCCCCCTGTTTTTGTGGTCCATGGTCAAAGGGAAGCTACTCTTCCTGGTTTAATAGTGCAAGGCACATTATTAGTGTATTATTCAGTCTTTGCTCTTCACATGCACTAAACAAAGGGAAGTAATCCATGTTTCAGCTGAATTTAGTTGCTACATCCTCTTTTCATTCACACAACCACACCAGTAACACGCTTTTTATTTCCACACGTAAGTTTTGTCAATTTTGCTGGGAAGAGAGATGTCGGGTCGCCGGAGAAGCAAGCGGAAGGGTAGTACAACAAGCAGGCAGTCGTCGCAAGAAAGGGGGTCTGCTCAGAGGCGTCAAGGGTCGCAGAAAGTTGCTCCAAACAATGCGACGTCTGATAGTGCTGTTCTTAGAGACGGGGAAAATGGCGACAGCAGTATGGCCGAAGCAGAGGTCCACGTGGTCCCAGAGGCTATCGACGAGATAACGCCTGTTACCACTACTCCTTCAGGAGGTGAGTCGGTGCAAATTGGTTTTGTATCCGAACAATACATATACCCCATCAGTTAACTCACAAATGTATTCTCCCGGGATTTCAAATCATGTCCCTCAATCCCAGTGTCATAACAATGCACCTAGCGTGGTTAGTAACCCAAATCATGTCCCTCAATCCCAGTGTCATAACAATGCTCCTAGCATGGTTAGTAACCCAATTGCTCCTCCTAATTCGCAAGGCATTCCCATGTTTCAAAATGTTGTCAATGACATGTTAAATATGCCACCACCTACAACAACACAAAGTGTGGATGATAACCTGGGTTGTAATGTCCCTGTCAACATTAAAAACAAAATATGGAATGGTGAGTACATCAATTTCGCACTATTGCTTAAACCAGACAGAGATTTGATGGATTATATGACAACTTCGGCAGTATTCATCAGTACAGATGGACAGCTGGAGTTGAGGCCCAAGTCTCAAGGCAAGAGAATTGAGAACATTTTTGATTGGACAACGGCTTTCACAACTTACATGAGTATTTATGTCCAGCGCAGGATGGACATGGTTCAAGGTTTACTGAAACACATGAATACTGTCCGTTTAGCAGAGTCTCATCATACTGGTTTGGGATGGAGAACCTATGATGAACAATATCGTCTTCGCCAGGCTCGTGACCAGTCTCTACCATGGGGAAAATTGAATGTGGAATTGTGCATGTTGTTTGTACAGACACCTTACCATCAACAGGTCAGTTCTGGGTTTTCTGGATTTCAAAAACGACACGTCAGCACATTTCAGGGAAAATTACAACGACCGGCAAACAACACATGTAACAACTTCAATCAGAGCAAGTGCTTTAGACAAAAGTGCAAGTACCGACACAGCTGTTCTGCATGTGGAAGTGATGCCCATCCAGCCTGCAGATGTACATCAGCCAGCACTCCTTCTAGAGTTATACAAGCTCGGTCGAACACCAGTCAAGACACAAGTGCTGGAACGTATGGCAAAGCATTTTCCGGATCAGGCTCAAGCTCAGTTTCTCGTTAATGGTTTCAAATATGGCTTCAAGCTAGGATATGATGGTCCAGTGGTAGGTGCTATGGCAAGAAATCTCAAATCTGTGGAAAATAATCAGTTTATGTCACACTTAAAAATCCAAAAAGAGTTGGACTTGGGTAGAATAGCAGGCCCATTTGACTTCCCTCCTCTACCAAATTTTAAGGTTTCACCGCTCGGATTGGTCCCTAAGAGCACTCAAGGAGATTATAGGTGAATACACCACCTATCTTTTCCAGAAGGTCAGAGCGTAAATGATTTTATTGATGAAAGTTTGTCTTCAGTTCAGTACACTACATTTGACCAGGCAGTTCAAATGGTTCAGCAGCTAGGGCAGGGAGCTTTACTGGCTAAAGCCGATGTAAAGAGTGCTTTTCGCTTAATGCCTATCTGGCCAGGAGACTTTAGGTTATTAGGTTTTACTTTGGAAAACAAATTTTACTTTGACAAATGTTTACCAATGGGTTGTTCAGCAAGTTGCTCTTTGTTTGAAAGATTTTCAACCTTTATTGAATGGGCTTCAGCACGAAGATTCAGCAATGGAAAAAGCATGCATTACTTTGACGACTTCCTTTTTGGGGGTAAAAAAGCTACAAACCACTGCCAAATCGTTCTGGATTCATTCATTTCGGTATGTGCTGATCTTGGTGTACCAATAGCTACAGAGAAGACAGTGGGGCCAACAACAAAGCTAACATTTTTAGGCTTGGAACTAGATTCAGTCAACATGTGTGTGCGTGTGCCGGAGGAGAAGCTCTCTTATTTGTTAGATGCTATAGACCAATTTTTGGCACGTTCAAAGGTTAGATTAAAGGAAATGCAGTCTTTACTTGGTTTACTTAATTTCCTGTGCAACGCAGTTCCATCAGGCAGATGTTTCCTCCGACGAATGATTAATGCAACATGTGGTAGGAAGCCTCACCACCACATAAGATTGACAAAGGACATGAAGAGTGACCTAAGAGTTTGGCAGAGATTTTTGAAGGAGTTCAATGGAGTTTCCATAATGAGATCAAGGTTTTGGGCTTCAAATGCTGATCTGGATTTTTATACTGACAGTGCTGGTGGACAAGGCAAAGGTTTTGGTATTTATTTTGCCGGACGATGGACCTGTGGACCTTGGCCGAATCATTGGGTACAGCAGGGTTTGATGACGAATATTACCTTCCTTGAGTATTTTCCCATTGTAGTTGCAGTTGCGATATGGGGTCCTGAGTTACTCGGGAAAAGGCCGTAGTCGAGATCATTAACAAGATGACCTCAAGATCAGATCCAGTTATGTGTTTGGTTAGGCACCTTGTCTTGTGTTGTTTGGAGTCGAATATCACAATTAGAGGTGAGTACATTGAGGGGAAAAAGAATGTTCTTGCTGATGCACTTTCACGTTTTCAGTTAGAGAAATTCAGGCAGCTGGCTCCAGATGCAGATTTGGCGGCTACTCTTATACCAGACACAGTTTGGAAGATTGTGGAAGAGAAGTAAACCGATTACTAGTGGCGGCTATTTCACACAATACGAGGAAGGCTTACCAGGGAGCACTGACCAGCTTTTCACGCTTTCGACAACAGTTCAACTTTCCTTATCTTTGGCCGGTTCCATCAGGACAACTTACAACATATATTGCATTTTTGTCCCTGAAAGGTTTGGCCCACTCTACACAGTGTCAGCACCTTTCAGCAATAAGCTACCAACATAAGCTCACAGGATTGCATGATACCACAAGCAATTTTATCATCCGAAAGATGCTGGAAGGCTCCAAACGACTCAAGGGTCATAGGGACGGCAGGGCTCCAATCATGTATTCCATATTGATTAAGATGCCTCAAGCTCTTAATGCTCTTTGCAGTTCTCCCTATGAAGCTATTTTGTTTACAAGTGCATTTTTTCTGGCCTTTTTCGGTTTCATGAGAGTTGGCGAGTTGGTTTACACTGACCATCTTCATTTGGAACGGCCTCTTACGATTTCAGATGTCACAGTCCAGAGGACATTTTTAGAAGTAACCGTGAGATCGTCGAAGACAGATCAGTTAGCAAGGGGTTGCACACTCCACATCCAAGGTAATGCAAGTGAAATGTGCCCACTAAAAGCAATGAAGCAATACCTTGCACTTCGTCCAGTGGGTTCAGTTTTTCTGTTTTGCCATAGGAACTGTCAACCTTTAACAAGATACCAGTTTGCAGCTATGGTTTCCAAATGCATCAGATATATGGGACTCGACCCATGTAAGTTCAAATCACACTCGTTCCGCATTGGAGCAGCCACTACTGCCGCAGACATGGGCGTGTCATCGGAGACAATACAGATGTGGGGTCGATGGAAGTCTAAGGCGTACTCAACTTACATTAGACTCTAAACTTTGAATTCACAATCAATGACTTCAGGTAATTTGCTATTTATAAATAATTATTATTATTCCAGATGTATGGATAATAGGCTCATCATTCATTTATTGGGCCCATCGTCAGTCGTTGAGGTTGAAACTGGGAAACAACCTGGGACTGGCTTACCTAGGGTTACGTTTTTACTGGTTTGGAAAGCGGGGGATGAAGTGGTCAGAACTTGTGCAAGTCGTCCAGACACAATTAGGCCGTCTACCCCCCCCAAGTCTTATACTCTTGCATTTGGGATCAAATGACCTTGTTGACCAGAATATTGGTTCCCTCGTTTGCCATGTTACTGATGACATCTACTACCTGGCTCAACTGCTGCCAAGTACAGTTCTTGTTTGGTCAGAAGTGCTACCAAGGTTATACTGGCATGGAGCTGTCAACCCAAAGGCGATAGTAAGGGCTCGACGTCGACTGAACCGAGCTGGGGTCAAAGCAGTGTTGCATTGGGGGGGGCGCTGTATTTATCACAAGCTTACCATGTCTGAAACAGGACTTTTCCGCCATGATGGCGTACATCTTTCCAAAGTCGGAAATGCATTGTTTGTAAACACTTTACAAGAGGCTTTTCAGCACTTCATGGCAGATACTGAAGTAAAATGTAAGGTATTTTTGGCTAATTAATCTCTTGCACCATAACGGTAATCACAGTACAAGTATTGGAGGAGTTGTGTATAGACACATCTCGTGGCGGAACACTTTTGGGCTGGGAGTTGTGATTTTGGTGTTTTTGGGGTCTTTGAGGCGTACCCTCTAGGCTCTATTGTATAATGGTGGTTGTAGAGCCTACAGCAGA